AATTCAAGCACGAGAAACGAATTCCGTTGAGCGATGTTAGGGAGGCTGCACCCATCCATTTCAGCCTACATTCAGGGCCGAGAGAGCCAGGTCCTCCAAATAGGGTTACATCCTACCATGTCACTCTACATGCAAAAACCCAGCTGAATAGAACGGTAGCATGTAAGCCCACGTGGGAGTAGGAACGGGGATGTGGAGAGGGTTGCAGGATCTGTCGTCTGCAGGGCCTTCCGAGACTTTGCTTCAAGCTTTCTTCTTGTTAATGCTTTGTGTGTACGATTGTCCACATCTTGGCATGTTTCCGCAGACTTCGAAGGGGTAGATGCGGCAAAACTCAGGAGCACCGAACACGGAGAAGCGTGATGAGGCGGAGCCTGCGGAAGTCAAAAGAAGAGGTCATCCTGTGCTCGCACAGGAGTTTCGCGAGGCCCGTTCTGGCGATGGAAGCTCCGAGATCTTGGAGCAGGCTTTGCCAACTGTTGTCCACTGAAGTCTCGAAGGGTCAGTTTTGAGGAGTTACCAGCAGCGACATCGGACCTCTTGAACGCTGCAAAGACGGCACGGATCGCTCTTGCATCTGCTTTCGCGCCTTGGAGTGACAGCTCCCTCGCACCTGATCCTGTTTGCAGTGTGACGGAAAGAAATTCGGCGACTGATGACGCGTGCATGTTGTGCTTCCTGCGGGCAAGCTATACTCCTGCGCTAAGGGCTATTTCAGTGTGGCGAAGCTCGGTCGACATCTCCATGCCATCAGCCTCAAGGCTGGCTTTCTAGCCAGCTCTACGCGAGCACATCGTTCCCCCGCAATACAAGAGACTTTATGCTGTTAAGGCTGTAGTTAAGTTTGAAGGCTCCCGCAAGGCAGCTGGAGGGACCACCCAAGTCTCAAGTGACAGTGCAGCCTTGAGTTGAGATGCCAGAGGTTCACAGAGCAATTAAGCTCAGCTAGGCTTTAGTGGATGTGCCGGCAGGAGTCGCCTGCAGTACTTGCGGGAGCTATGACAATGATTTCCGCTGCCTCGCAGCTGCATGTCATCAGCAATTATCAGCAAGATCCAATCGGGGCCTGACACTTCCAGCCAGCAGCTTGTTGGGCATGTTGCATGTCCCTAAGTCCCAGGGTCCAAAGTCCTTTTGGCACATCAGAGGCCTTGGCACTGGCTCTCCCAGAGCTGGCTTGGCGCTTTGGTCCGGTGCCGGAGACCTTCGCATGAGGCCTGCTAGGCGCAAGCTCCCTTTCAGTTCAGTTGAGCCCTTCAGAATACCTCTAGCCAGAGGTTTGGGACAAGGTTTTTCTGCATCCAGGGATTCGAGAGAAGCAGTCAGCTTCACAGTTTCAGATATGTCCACCGCAGCTTCGGCGGCGGCTTTGCATTTGCATTCCAAATTCGTGCTCTGCTCCCTCGGCACGACAACCGTGCAGTTCCGGCAGAGGTTCAATAATGCTACAGCAGCTTGCTCAGCAGAGGGTGGCAGTTAATTCATTCCAGCATTGTTGCACAGATGTGCCCGTCTGCGCATGCAGACTCTGCACTTCGCATATGCTGTGCAGAACCCAGATTTAAGTGCATTTGCTGGCCACAAGCCTTCTACGGTCATGGGCATGCAGAAAAAGACTGCTCTTGGCGCTTTCGCTTGGCCTTTCCGCTGTTACAACTGCAAGATCAACTTTACACAACTTTACCGAGGAATGGGCCATGTTGGCCGTGCCCTGCGCTTGTCCTCAAGGCAGTTGTCTCCTGCGGAGCACGATTGTGCTGGTGACCCCTCTGGAAATTAATGACAAACGCCATGTCGGCGCTGAAAAGCCGATGGGCGTGCCTTGAAGCACGTATCCGAGGCAAGACTCCGTCTGCCACTTTCACTCTTTACCTGCGGCCAGCGGTGGCCTGAGGTGTCCAAATCCGGATAGGCCTGATGCCACTGCTGTGTGACGTGGATTAAAGAAGCGATCATATGTAACCCCCACTGCCAGACTCGTCCGTGTCTGACTTCTGAGCCCGCGAGAGAGAGGGATATGTAAAACCAAGACCCTTGCATTCTGCGCATCCCCAGATCTTGCTCCAAGGCTGGTGAGGAATGTCGCAGAACTGGGCTGCAGGCACACCCTGCTGCTTTTGGCGCGTGGTTGTTGGATGTTGGATGGCATATTCCAGCAACGGCTAGTATTGCTATGTAATGCAGCTATAAGTGATAGCAATTGTTTTGACAAGCCATTTGCAGATATATTGATTGCGGCCATGACCGAGTGTCATAACTGGAACTCTGGCCATGGTGCGTATTGCAGAAGGAACCCAAGGAATAGGACTAGGATTTTGCGATGGTCATGACGATGGTAATGATGATATTGTTGGTGGTGATGGTGATGGTGCTGATCATCGTGGAGGTGCAGCTGCCGGCGGTGCTGCTGCTTGTAATGTTGGTTGACGATGAGGAGAAGATACGGGTGAAGATGACGAGGAAGCAGATGACGAACCTTGTCATCGTCTGATGCAGACAGAATCTCAGCAGATGCCTTACCATACATTCATAAAGATCGTCATGACGGGTTGCTGATCAGAGATGGTGTTTTGGGGACATGGTCATCTAATGGCCCACTGCCCAGGGATCCTGGACTTGCTTCGATGGCTTCCAGGGCACCATGCAAGCGTTGACCTGGGCCGCTGAACTCAGGGTGGCCAGATTTCTTGTTTTCTGCAGAGATGCACTCAAAGCGCCACCACCGCCCCAACAAACAGCGAGTACCTTCACTTAATCATCAATCAATAGTTTCTGAAGTTACATGCGCTCTCGGCAAGAGCCAACAAGCTTGAGACGCCCAGGTTGGCAGCTGCATAACCTTCGAGTTTCACAATGCGAGTGGTGCTTTCGCCAACATTGAAGAGAGCATCATCGATGCCGAGGTTGGATCTTTGCCAGTTAGGTGCACGTCACATACTGATTTTGCAGTGGGGCCGGCCGGCTTCACAGGCCTGACCACGAAGTACGAACATGTACGAACAGCCTACAGTCTCGTTGCAGCCATGCGACTTCGAGTTATTTCAGTTTCATGGAAGCAATCGTCACCGTGTGGAGGAAGATCTGCGAGACCCGGCGCAGCAGGGCGTGGGAGGCAGTTGCAAGATGGCCTTTGCTGAGGGCAGCCACGCCCGAAGCCAAGGGGGCTTTCAAGCTTTCAGGCGGCTTGCGGCTCTCAGTTAGATCTCCATGCTGGACCTTGCTGGGGCTTTTCTTCTGAGCATTTTACATTACAACATCTTTTTTCGACTTGCGAGTCGGCTCAACGCGGCTAGACGGAGGAAGTGTTGCGCTGACGTCCCGCCTCCGGAAGTTTCAGCCTGCAGTGGCGTGGTAGAGAGATAGAGAGATGGTGCATGTGAGCATGCCGAATTGTTGACCTGTGAGAGGTTTAGTAGAGATCATGGGTCATTTTTCTTTGGATCTAATGACATAACGAGATAGAGGGCGCATGCAAAACATTACTTGCAAGGATGTTGATGCTGTAATGCGGTGCTGTGTGAGGGTAACGGCAGCCGGGACACCAGCAAACCTATGTCCGAGTCCAGTACTATTGTTCTTCTGCGACAAGGGCAAGCCCCGGCCGCCTATCAGAGGAAGCATGAGCCTGTACCGCCGTGAAACATGCATATAAGGCAAAAGGATACGCAACCGTGTTTGGGGGCTGCTTCTGGCAATAGTGCAGTCGCATGACCTCATATGTCTCCCCATACTTAGGCGAGATGACCCCATGCATCCTATTCTTCCCAGGAAGATGTATTCTGAGACAGATGAGATAAGGGCTTCGCGTGATAGGACGCGAGCTACATACCAAAATCACTGCCGTCGCTCATTTAAGTCTATAGGAAGATCTTCTGAACCCCGAGTGCGAGCTTTGCGGAAGCCCGCGAGACATGAGGAGATGAGCTTGACCTTCAGAGCGGCGCATGAGGCTGGTCAGAGCCTCAGCCCTTTGCGCTTTCGAAGCTCGGAGAGGATCCAACTCGAGAGGTAGGAAGCGAACCCGTTCTACGGACATGGCAGGAAGATGCGCCGTGTTTAGGAAACTGGGATGTCTTGCTGTCCAGTCTGTCGGGCAAGCCGTGATGCTCTCGAGCCCAGGCCAAAGCAAGGACTGCCCCTGCTGATGAAGGTTTGTGTGATGGATAAACAGGTGCACCGGTGCACCTTAATGACCGATACTCCCAGTAGAACTACTGCTCTCACCATGATATGGCGACACATTGTGTTGCTGATAGTTCGTGTATTGGCTGCTTCCAGGAGGGACTTGAGAAGTTGCGTAGGACGTAAGAAGCAGTGCGTGAGGCAATCCTGGCCTGTCAAGGCAGACCCCGTAAATCTCTGTCATGTTGCAGGAGGGACATCTTGAGCTGTTCGTTGGGCAACTGGGACAAGGAGACCCCCATGCTTGGCACGCACCTGTTTCACGAAAAGCAATTGCACGGGGCACGTTGAGACAATTGAGATAATCCCCGCAGCAGGCCAGCCGTGCTTCTGGCAACGTGGAAGCTGCAGTACCGACGCCGAGGACCAGGACGGCCAGGACGTGCTTCGGCCTTGGCGCACCCGGTGACCTTTGCGCAACACACGCACACTTCCACAACACGCACAACACGCACACACCTTTCCGATTCCAACATGTCTGTCGCGAGTCGGCTCAATCCTGCTTTAGCAGCACGACGCGCAGAGCACGAATCCGCAAGAGGAACGCTATGGCAATGCTCCGTAGCCGCTTCCAATGGCTAACGGTGCTCGCAATCCTGATCAGCCTAGGCTGCATGGCACCACGCAGCTTCAGCTGCACCGGCGACTTTCACCGCAGCGTGGGCAGCTCCAACAGCTTCGGACTTGGCCGAAACTCCAAAGGGCACCCCAGGCCGTTGCAGGCGAGGGCGACGAGCCGGGACTTCGGGGGCGAGCGCTCCCAGGGTCTCGTGACGGCCTTGGTGGCGGCTTTCTCCACGGCCGCGATGTCCTTGCTACAGGGCTTTTTGCATCGGACTCTCTGGGTGCCGCCCTTCGGCGCTGTGGCTCTGATCTTTGCCGCTGAGGCTGTCGAAGCGGCCAAACAGGGCACTCTGCTTCGCCGCAAACCCATCACCGATCGGATGGTGAAAGCCTGTCTTGGTGTGGCTACAGCCTGTTGCTGCACTGTCGTCGCTGCTTATGTGTTCGGTGACACCCCAACGATGCTTCGCACCGCAGTCATGTTCTGGGCTGCGTTTTCGATGACATTGAATCCAGGAGCCGGCTACTTTCCACCAGCCGGGGCCCTCTGTGCTTTGTATGTCGAGAGGGCAGTCTCGAAAGGGGCATTGCCCGGCTTTGAGTATGCTCTGTTTCCATGTGCTACCGGTGTTGGCCTTCTGCTTTTGTTCACACGGCTCTTTGCATTCCTTGTCTCACGCCCGGTCTGGGCGCTGCGGTCCAGGTTTGGCCAAGACCAGGATGTTGTGTTGGCCAAAGCATGACACCCTGTAGAAACCCGGTGATCCGCCAAAGGCGTTTCTGAAGGTTCCAACATGGTCTTCGAATGGTTTTTGCGGTACCCGGGTGCTGCGAATCCCATTGTGCAGAGAAGCGGGCCGATAGCAAAGCTATTAACGCTTATCAATCTCAGATCCAGCAACTGGCACTGGTTTTGAAATTCTGCTGCCCTGCAGCTGTAGCTGCATGATTACTTTGTCTTTGGTGCAACGAGAAAGACGCGAGAAAAGAGGCCTGACTCGTAGGGGTGCGGTGCGCAAGCACAGCTTGGATCGTGTTTGCGAAGCGCTTTAAGGCTTTAATGCTGTCCCCGAGTCCTCAGCCTTCTGCTGACACTTCAGGCCGGAGCCATTCGAGAATCTTCCGCCGTTGGTTTTGGCTGCGATCTGAGACATTGAGTCGTTGCAAGAGTCCCGAACACAGGGCATTACTTCCATGTCTTGTCTTGCCATAGTGCATGAACCTCCACAGAGCTTTACATGGGAACGCTGCAGAAAAAGAGCAGCGACGCCGTCTCCAACTGCGTGGTGATGGTGTGAGGTCCTGACCATGGGAATGTTTTTTGGGAGTGGCCCGACACCACCGCCCACCGGAATCCCGCCGGGTCTTCCTTCGTTGGAGGCGCGGGATGGCTCGGGACGGTGATCAGAGAGGGTCTTGGGGATCTGCTCGACGGCTTGAGGCTTACATTGTAGTCTTCTGGTGTTTCATTCTGGTGTTGCACAGTCGGGGGATACATTGGTTTTCGAGCTCGCGTGCTGTCTTGCACTGAATAACGCAGGACTGCAGCCTACGCGCCAAGGTTTCGAAGCATCCATTTGGACTAAACGGGTGTGTGTTCGTGCTTGAGTCTGCCGAGAGGGACAGAAGGCAAGAAGGCAACGACATCATCTCCTGGACCTGAAAAACGGATTCTTCTGAACCTGCCATGCGGGAGCCAAGCCAAAAATAATCTCCTGCATCTCACGAACCTCTCGGCCACTTCTGGATGGTGGAAACACACTTCCGGAGTAAAGTGTAGACACCTTCTCCCAGTACATGTGCCACGCTCGATCCTACTCATGTCGAAGAACATACACTGCACGGGTGAATACATGTTCAACTTAAGCCCTTCATTGGAGCGCTTCAACTTGAGCCTGAAGATGCCTAGGAATAGATAGATCTTGGCCACCTCCCCCTTTTGTTCTTCAGTCGGTGTCTTGTTCGGATGGTTATGTGTTGGTGCTCAACGTGGGTCTTAACATCCTCTTGATGCCGCGCATCCGTGCAGGCATGCGGAGCCCTAGTGACCAGTACCGTCGTTGAGCTTGAGTTGCATGCAGGATGGTGCTCAAGCACTCAGAATTCGCTTTCTGAAGCCGAAAGAAGTCGAGCCCAGCTGCTGCAGCTTGCAGGTGGCCTCGGCGCAGAACCCTCAGAGTACTGCATGTCATTTTGGGTCCCGGCGAGTCCCGCTAGCCAGTGTCCACTCCTACAGTCCAGAAGGCCTTGTCACAACCTGGCGACGAGGCTTCATCATTCTCATCGCAGCCCGAGTGGCGGCGAGCTGAGCCGTTTTCTTGCGAGCTGCTGTGTGAACCAAGCACTTCGTCCCTGCCGTTTTTAGGACATGCACGAGTCACTGCTCTGAGGATAGGAAGCCAGAAGAGGAAGAGAGCAGGTCCAGGAGCAGGCACGGGCACGGGCCAGGGGACCGCTCATAGGGCATTTTGTAACATCTACCGATAGCGCGTGCAGCGCATTGGGGCAATACCGCAGCTGGGCTTCGAATTCATCGCGAGCCTCTTGCACAAAGCCCACGCACAAGCGGCAAGTGTTCTTAGTTGGTCGTGCAGGCAATTCCGCAGACAGCCGCAACTGGCTGAACTCCGCCGGGACAGAACATGCCACCGATGGCTCGCGTGCCATTGAGTGATATTGAGTGTAAGAGTTCATGCCAGCACATCTCGTTATTGCTTGGCCGAAAGTCCATGATACTCCATATCAGTGGCAGAACATGCATCGAAGAAAACAATGGCCTCTGTGTCGTCGGGCCTGCTATCGACTACACTTTACTCCACAAGACCCGACATCTGCAACTCCTCCTATGCGTTTGAAGGTTTTGGGCATTCCCGTTTGAGCTCGCGGATGCCAGCTGCACCCGACCCACTCGCCACATGCCAGGAATATTATTGTTATTGCTACGCTCACTCTAGATGTCATGCTGCAGCAGCAGGTGTAAGTGGGCCGGTTGAGCTGTACATACGTGGCATCCTGCCTTCCTCTGCTCGTGTGCACTGTTTCCGTCTTCCTTTACGAATCCTGCACGTCCTGCATGGACAGTCGGAGCTGTTACCAGGGTAGCTCCCATGAACACAACTTCAACAAGCCGAAAGGTCTGGCACTTCTGATGGTTGTCTGAAGGAGCTGAGATCCCTGACTGACAGCTTGCCATGAATGGGAACGCAAACCTTTGGCCCTGAACCTCAGTCTTAGCCAGCATGCTTTCTGGAGTGAAGCCGGCCCTCCCACTAGCTTTCTCTTTCCGTCTCTGCATCTCATATATGCATAGACGTGCGTAGATATGTCTACCCTGCCGGCAGACTACGTTTGTGTCTGCATGCGTGTGTTTCGGGAGACATATTCGCGCAAGACAGTCCATGTATACTTATAGATGCGCATCACCTGTATGATATATATATATATACACATACACATGCATACATGTACGTGGTATATTCAGATATTTACATACTGTTGTATTTATCTCCGCAGAGAAGACGAGGCACGGGTTGTACACCGTATTGGTTTCCCTTGCATACATGCACCATCTGCAGCCTGCTTGCACGTCTTCGTGTGTGTGTGTGTGTTACCATGTAGTTCTTGGGACTCTTGGTGCCCTGAAATAGCCTGGAGAAGATGGGGCCTTAGGAATTCAAGACCGGATTTCCCAAGCCACGTTGTAGTGGCAGGCGCTCATTCTGCGCAGAAGTGATAAGAGAGAAGCTCGCTGGAGTAGCTTGGGCAGTGTCCAGAAGGTAGGGGAACCTGCCGCAGACTGCAAGGCCTGAGCACCAGAGAAGGTTGAAGAACTAGGAGTGATACGGTGATACCTTCACATGTCACTGCCAAGCAAGACAGGTTTCAACATATATTCACCTGTTGCGCCGCATGAAAACGCCACGCAGTAGACAGCTCAGGGTGCAATGCCCTCCTCGGTTGACGCGGACAACTTGACTTGAAGTTGAGGTAGGGTACAGTACACTCGTGGATTTTAGGCAAAGCTGCCGGTCGTGGCTCAGAACCAGGGCTCAGTAGCGGACCTTCCAAAAAGGGCCCCTGAATTCCCGTACCTTCTGGATGCGACCCCGACAGAATGACGCAGGGGCCGAATCGCTGTTCCGACACAAAAGAGTCCACCCTGTCTGGTTTCGGTAGAATGCTGGCATGGTGCAGCAATGTGCAGCATGCTGCAATGCTCTTCTCTGCAGTCGCGGCTCTGAAAGATGGGGCTGCGCCCTCGACCCCCATCCCGCCAAGCCCAGGCCAGAACTTCCAGAACTGCCTTGAGGAAATCCCGAGCTCCAGAGCCATGGCCACGACGAAGATCTTTGCCCGGCGCTTCGGAGGGGCCTCGGAAGTTCTCGAGGTGCCCTCGGATCTGCTGCTCTCGGACCTGGAACACGCGCTGCAAAGCGTTTCCACTCCCAACCTTCTTTGGCTCCTTGGTCCTCTTAAGTGCAATGCCAGCCGTACTACGAAGACAACTGTTCCTGAATAGGTTGACTTGTTCAGGTTCCACCGGGGCGAACCGTTGGAGGAGCTTGGAAGGCCTCTTCCAAGCCGGCTGGTGCTCAAAGAGGGCTTCCCGAGGCGCGACTGGACTTCCTGGAGGCGGGACGGGCGACGCATGGCATAGGGCAGAGGCGGCGAGACGAGACTCAAGCAGGTGACTGCAGTATACATAAGGCTGCAAAGTAAGAACAGTCCTTGCAACCACAGCGGATGGGGACTAGTTGAGTGCTCCCAGTCGGGTGGCGCTATGTTTTCGGTATTTTTTCCGTTTTGTTCTTTGTATTTCTTCCGTTTCTTGTGCCCAGCCGGGCAGCAAGCAAGCAGGCAGGCAAGCAAGCAAGCAGGCAGGCAAGCATGCAAGCAAACAAGCAAGCCAGCAAGCCAGCAAGCAAGCAAGCGCCGGCAAGCAAGCAGGCAGGCAGGCAAGCAAGCAGGCAGCAAGCAAGCAAGCAAGCAAGCAAGCAAACAAGCAGGCAAGCAACCAAGCAAGCAAGCAAGCCGGCAAGCAAGCAAGCAAGCAAGCAAGCGTGCATGCCAAATTATCTTCGGCTGTGACCAAGAGTTCCGCGACCTGGGCAAACATCAGCCAAGCACCTGCTGCGCCATAAACGAGTTCCTGTATTGGCGGACAATACACGGGATGCTGCTCCAGGGCGTGGAAAAGGAGAAAATATTTGGAGATCCATTCTCCGCATGTGTGTGTGTATGATTGTGTATGTATGTATGTATGTATGTATGTATGTATGTATGTCTGTACTTACGTATGTATGCATATATGATTGCATTGGGTTTTGGGTTGATAGGATTCTGTATGTTTGAGGTCTTTGTAGCTCCATTGCACATGAAGGTTTAAGATCCTACAGGTAGCAAATCTTACGACATCTTAGGACATCCTGCCTAATCTGAGATTCCCAAACGGGTAAATTCCTCTGAAAGTCCTGTGATATCTGACGAACTCTGAACCAATAATAGAGAACCTTCTGAACCCCGACATATTACTCCCGTGAAATCCTATGAAAGCTTCTCAAATCCTACGGAATCGCCGGAAATCCTTGGCAAGGTTAACTACAGCAAAACCTAAGAAGTTTCACAGAGACCTGCGAAACTCCTGTGAAATCCTATGAAAGCTTCTCAAATCTCACGGAAGCGCAGGAAATCCTACGCAAGCTTAACTTAACTACAGCAAAATGTAAGAAGTTTCGCAAGAAGTCTCGTGAAATCCTTAGAAGTCCTCGCAATGCCAAGGAAATCCGCGAAAATGCCCACGGAAACCGATAAAATGCTGACTAGCTGCACAATCCAAGGAATTCCTACACCAAGCTACACCGAGCGAAACAAAAACAGAAACCGCTCCCAGACATTAGCATCTGTTCCAATACGAGTATGCGCCGTATCCGAAGCCAAAAGCCTGCCGCTGCCATGGCAGAGCGCCAACCTCGTACACAGCGCCCTCATCGTGCCTCGGCGGCATACGCATTGCGGGGTCCACTGTCGGAAGTTTCGTTGACAGGTATGTAGATACGTACATTGGTTCGTTACTGCTCCAACTGTTTGTTAGGAGTAGAGAAGCTTCGCAGTGGGAGGGAGAGAGAGAGAGAGAGAGAGAAAGACAGACAGAGAGAACTTCGTTGTACAGCACAGTGACATGGAAAGCACTTCTACCTTGCCTTGGGGGGTTCGCTAGCTCAGGCTAAGAGTGCAAAGTACAGAGCTGGCCGGTGGGGGGTTATCACCTTAGCATAAGAGAGAGGTTTCGGGTGATCGGTGCCCGGGGGGGGGGGGTCGCACTGCTTCGGAGGGGTGCTATCTTGTATATAGCAAGGACACCTATCCTTCGAAGGCCGCATCGTAAAGATATTAGAAGATCCTGCTCCTGCCTCAGATGCTCAGGCTTGGCTTTCAAAGTGCAGCCGGGGTACAGCTCCGCCGGTGCCGGGAGGGCTACAGGGCAACGGAGAGAAGGTTCACTTCAGTCAACTCGCCCGAGGCATGATGGGGTCGAGCGCCAGGTCAGTGACAGCTTTATTCTGAAGCACTCGTGGTTCTTTGGAGCATCGCCCCTCTGCATGGCACGGACACCTTGGATTTGCATTTCCGGAAATTCGCCGGTACCGTCCTTTGCTTGAAAGATGCTGTGACTCAGCATTGCGCATGCCTGGAGGTCGTCGCAAAGTCCTCCTGACGTGAGCCTGGTGTGTCGCGGTTTCGAGGACTGTGCAAATTATTACGTTTTTTGCGTCGTCTGCTACCGGCTTCCGCTGGCCTCCATGGACGCATCCGTATGAAGCCAGTTTATGCCAGCTCCAGGATGACAACCGCGATCGCTGGTTTTTCGCGAGCTACGACGCTCGTGGCCCAGGACAGGTGTCGTGGAGCCTCAAGTATCCTAGTATATCCTAGTGAATTCAGAGTACCAAGTGGTGCAAGTTGACACATGGATGCATACCTACCGATTTTTCGGGCGGCCGTAACTAGCTGTGGTTCAACCCGTTGAAGCTTCGTCTTCAAACACCGACCGTTACATATCTATTGCCCAGGTGCTCGGTTGGGCATTCTCCTCCTTCGCATGGCACCCTGGCAGCACTTTCCCACCATCCCACGACATTTCGGTTGCCCAGACGGCTGGCCGCTCTTCGGAAGCTGCGACTGTTGTTTTGCTGTATGGCGATCGGTAACCATTAGTTATGCGGTTCAACACAGCACAGTGTTTCTTGAGGCGGCGGCTGGTGCTGCTGGGCTGCGAAAGGCTAGGTGGGGAAGTGAGCACTGGTTGTCAGGCTGTGAATCAGTGAACACATTCGCCCCAGTCTAGAACCTGGAGAGACTCACTGTTTTGAACATGGCATCAACTCGAAGTCAATTAAAGCCAGCTCTAAGCAGGCGAGACCTCCAGATCCAGGGCCACGCTGCCGCGCGTCGGGCACAGCTCCGTGCCCTACGCGCCGATCCTTGGGCCATCTCGGCGTAGGTTTTGCTTGAACCCGGACGGAAGCAGCTGTACTCTACAAACTGATCTTTGACCCTTGCCACAGTGTTGCCTTCTTCTGGCTGTAGGACTTGGAGTCTATCCGACTCGCTCATGATGTTCTGCTGACAGAGGCTGGGATTCCGGGTTTGGACTTCTTTGGATGCGGCCCCCCAGTCGCTATATGATACCGTGTTAAGCAAGCATGTCCATGCAAAATGCTGGCAATGCCCAACCTCGCAGCCTCACTCTTGCAAGCCGTGCATTGCGAGCTTAGCGCAATGCTGGCCGTGAGGCTGGAGATGCGGGTGGTCTTTGGCCTTTTGGGGCAGCTTGTCGAGAATAGTCTTGTCACATGTCGGAGTCTACTTCTGAGAGCTTCAGGAAGAGTCGCGGAAGGAAGTGGAGCAGGAGCTTGCGCGTGAGCTTGAGAAGCGACAAGATGCTGACAGCGACATCCTGCCACTCGGCTTGGCGAGTTCAGATTGAACCTGGGTTGTGGATGGGAAAAGCCCCAAATAGTTGAAGAGCAAACATAACATTACGGTGGAAGAGCATCATTGAAAACTAGAAAGCCTTGATGGAGATGATCTGGGCAACCGGGAAGACAAAATGGCTGAAGCTGGAACTTGCTCGCTCCTGCTGCTAGTACCTACTGCAGGTACAATCTGGGAGTCCTTCTGCTGATGCAGCCGAGAAAGACGGAGTCAGACCTGCATCAGGCTTTAGAGTTGCTGGTCTGCTGTTCAGAACCTGGGTCGTCCAGTTCTTAGCGATGAGACTGCTTACGGCAGACGCGGCTACCCAGATCGACATTCGTCGGGTCCTTTGTCCAGTCTTACTTTCTGTGCTTGGGTGATGCCTGAGAGCTGCTACAAGGTTCCTTCAAGGCGCCGCGGCAGCAAGCAGTCGAAGCGGAGTCAAAGCAGTCTGGGATCATGTTTGAGCTTGCGGGGCCTCTCCCGCTTTGGGAAAAAGGTTTTTGCGGGCTTCAAGGCTTAGGGAAGCGACTCTTGTGGCTATTTCGCGTTTCTGTCTCAGGGAGCTTGGCGAGCACACCCAGCCCCTGGGCGCATCGGCTCTGCGAGCGGATCAAAGAGCAGCTGCAGGAGGAAAGAGAAACTCTCAAGACCTTCTCTCCTTATCCCTCTCTCTCTCTCTCTCTCTCTCTCTCTCTCTCTTGTCATGGTTGCGATGTGCTGTCCGCAGGAGTCCACACCTGGAGGGAGATACCAGCGCCAAGAGACAGCCGAGCTTTGGCATCTTCTGTATAGTGTAGAAAGCTACACCTTGCTCGACAGCGGTTTCGATGGATTGGACTACTTGCAAACTGCAGGCAATAAGGAGCGAGCGATTCGATCCGGCGGCGGAGGAGCAGGAGGAGGAAGCCGACCTTACCCAGAAGCGGCAGACGGAATTCGATTCCTGGCTTTATTTGAGGCATTCCCGGATCAGATCAGGCCGCTTGTGCTCGTAATTTGTCTATTTCAGTCCCGGCCGTCGCATGTGCATGTGTTCGATGCTTCAGCAATCAATAGTCTGTACAAGCTGTGATCAAGAAGGATCATTGCCACCACTGTTTCAACCCAGGAAGAAGCCATCACACGCATAAGGAGTTCGATGCGGGGCAGTGAAGATGCCGGTCCTGCGGCAGCAGACGAGGAGCCCTCCATCGTGTTGCTTGTATGCATTGCTCGCAGGGGCTAAAGTGACCAGCTCGTGGGCGTATTGAAAGGAGTCATGTAAGTTTGCTGAGTGCTGATGCTCGAAACCGACTCCAGCGACTCATGTGCAGGAGCCTCGCGCTGCCGCAGTGGGGTTCGCGAGATCGAGCACGGCTTCTTGTACCGAACAGTTTCCTTCCTGTTCTGACTCCCCGGGCGAGTCCTGAAATCCTGCTGCCGTTTTTGTAGTCGTGCTTATTCGTAGGCGGCGCCATGCGGACCTTGTGCCGTGCAAGGTCGAGGCTCTGTCCAGCGTCCTCAACTCGCTGAAGCTGCGACAGGGTTCCACTTCGGTGTCGCAGGCACTGAAACCGAAGTGCCAAAAAAAACTTAGCGTGGTCTGACAGGATTCAAAAGGGAGCTGCTTTGCGCCTCTTCGCCTTCTTTCTCAGTTGCCTGCGGCAGGTGCCGACTCGAGCCACGGGCGTCTCGCTGGAGCAGAGGAGGCGGCGAAAGAATCAACGCGCCTACCTCGCCTCGAGGCCGAAGTCGCTTCGCCCAGCCCGGTCCTTCTCGAGACATGACTTAGCAGAGCCTAGCAGGGCCTAGCAGGGCCTAGCATGTTGGTGAGGGCTTCATGACCTTGCGAGGCACGGCAGCCACATGTGTCGCTTACGACGGCTTCCTGTGCCTTGACACAAACCTATCGCACCAGCCGGCCCCAAGTTAAGTCGCTCAAAGCACGTCGAACAAAGGATCCCAAATCGAAAGCTACAGGTACGTTGGGCTCAGTTGAGACGGGGTCAACAGTATCGTGTATTGGTTCAGTCAGACTCTGTCAAGAGATGATTGCTGATTACTGGACGGCGTAAGACGAGACACTCGGAAAACAGTTTTGATACTGTGAACCGATGTAGGGCGCCCCCAATTGAAGGACGGGTCAGGCATGAGCAAGTAAATTTGACACTTTCTCAGCTACTTGGCCTTGACCGAGTGCGGGCTATCGCTGTCTATAGTCTGGAGGCACCGCCGTAGCCGATCGGCCCTGTATATTCTTGGATTGCATGAACGATCTTGAATTGCCGCTGAAGCCAGGCTGTTAGCAGTGACAGTTCGCAAGCAAGTCCTACAGGTCCTCCTGCACCGTGGGACTGGAACCTCGGATGAGGTCCCAGAGGCGCGCACATGACCTCCCGTTTGCAATGTACGTGGATGTGGAGCCAGGAGGCCTCGTCGTTACCTGAGCCTCCGGGTCTTGTAATTGAACATTCGGAGACCTTGCTACCGATAATGATGATCGGCAGGAGAAGGCCTGGTGCACGCATGTCAGATAATAAGGAGGACGACTCCGAACACTGGAGCCAACATACACACACCATCCTGAGAGAGTAGGTTTTCTAGAAGACCTAAACACCGTCTCAGCCTGTCTTGGCCCCGTCTTCCAGGCTGCGCCGGCTCCGGTGCCTCGGCTGCGCATTGCGAGCCTCGAGGCGGTGCTGCACTTTGCAACTTGGATGCAAAGGGGCCCCCCCTCGGGGCTCGAAAGGCAACTGGCAAAGAACAGAACATATTGAGGGCTTCATATGGACCTTTGCAGTCTGGGAAGTTCATGGCTTTGCCGGCAGAGATTTAGAGCTTTCGCGCGGACGCCGCTGTTGCGCACGTGTGATTCAGATGAGAGCATACTGCAGCTCAACAGCCCACCATGATTGCTGGGTCTCAAGAAATACTGAGTCCGCCGAATTGAAGTATTGCTTCAAATGGCGACAGCCAGTTGCCTGCTGGGCCTCGCAAGGTCTCAGTGCCAGCTGAAGGGATTCACCAGACTGACCTGGAGCTTTGCTCGGTGCTTTGGATACTTCTGCCTCTGGGCTTCTATTGGATTGTTTTCTCCCGCCAATTCCTTTCCAGGCATCGTGCCCAGTCTAAGTTGCCGTAGAGTGAGATAGCTTGAAGCCGATGCGAGTTCAACCTCCAGTGCTGAAGGTATTTCGGCTTGCGGCGATGCCATCCTGGATTCCAGAAGCTGAAGCAGGGACACTCAGAATAGCAAAGCATTCCAACAGCAGGCTTTCGTTTGCCACTCCCCTGCGAACTTCGGATGCCAACAGCTCAGCTCATGTCAACGTACAGTTCAGGTGAGAAGCTAGTCAGTTCCGCAGGTCGACTTTGAGCGCCTCTCCTGTGCCTGCCTGTCTCAGCCACCTGCCGCAGCTTTTCCATTGAGGTTTGGGATGGAGGGAACACTATGTAAGGCCGAGCTTGTAAATGGAGGTACGCGATACGGCATCGTTGTCTCAAGTGTGGTCAAGATTCGCTTGTAAGTTGAAGCTGTATTGGGCTACCACCTAGTGAGGCATCGCCCGTCATTTTGGGTACGGCAGTGGCTGCACGCTGCGAGATTCCAAGAAGAACTTGGAAGACGTGCTGCTCCACGGCCTGCCTCGCAGCCAAAATTGGACTAATTTATTCAATGGGGTGACGATGAGAGCTCTACAAGAAGAGATATGGGTGCAGCACCTGACACGCCTGCCGTTTGCCTAAAGGGCCTAAAGGCCCGCACAGTGGAACCACCTCGGCTTCGGGACGTAACGGCACGGCATTGCATGCGTCCTCATCACTCGCTCAGGTCAACCATGCGGGGAGACCAGCTGGCGCTGGTCCATGGCTTCGCCTCCGAATACTCGAACGCGGGCCTTCCTGAAGCTTGGAATGCAGTTGGGTCTTGCATAGGCCTGGCTGCAAGATCTGAGCCATGCCGGACTTTCTACCTGTCCGATGCCTTGAGCAACTTGGCTCAGGAGGAGGATCAGCTGGCGGTCCTTGATCGACGGATTAAGCATCTGGAGCTCGTGTTGGCGACTCCTCCCAAGGCGTGAGGGAAAAGGAGGACACAGGGGCTGGATTGTAATTACAAGAGGCTCTGTTCGCTCGGTATTCAGTATGTTTCAGTCTGGGAAGCAGTGCCTTGGCACTGGCTCCTCCGACCTCTAGTGCACCAGAAGCTCCAAAAGCATTGACGACCCCAGGCAAGCTTTCCAACTTGGTCAGGTGTATCTACAGCAAGGCCACGCAGCACTGCAGCGGCATGGCCCATTATCGAAGGCCTTGTCTGCCGGCGAAGACTTGCTGTTCTGTACCTGTAGTGCTCTGCCCCTGTCGAGGCAATTGCCAGCCAGGCCATCGACGAGCATGCGTTTACAACCGTGAGTGTTGGGTCGGCAGGTGAAGGAGGGTGAAGGCGACGGGTACTGTAGAGTCACGGTAGAAGCCAAAGAACCGGAAGTGGCAAGTCTGTTTGTCTCGCGTCCATTTTCCGTGAATACATGAGTTTCCCCTGCACGGAGGCGCCGTCCCACACGATGGTCCCACCATCTGTCCAGCGCAGCCGCAAAGGAATGCTAATGCGTGGAGAGAAGGCGGAGCAGCTCGGCAGGCGCAAGCTGCGGTCTGACGCGGCGGGCAGAGAGGTTCTGGAAGTAGGCAGTTGATTGCAGTTGATCATCCAGCAACGCTAACCCTCGCATCGCATCTTATATCCTTCTCAACAGAGCAGTCGCAGATCACATATTCTCATACGGCGTGACATGGTCTCACAAAAGCAGCCGGCTAAAACAGTGGCTGCGTGACCAGTCGCCGCTCATCCAGTTGCTGCAAAAGAGGTGTCTCATGGCTGATGCTTAAGGTGTGAGCGAGTTTTATGGCGTCTCAGGCCTCTGAGGTGATAAAGATCGTTCTTGGAATCATTAGAACATATATTCTCCAAAAGCAGAAACACAGCTATGAGCCACGACCAATGCTGAGCCAAGCTTGTCAGGAACACGATCTCCAAGCTCAACCTCGTGGATCTGGCTGGCTCCGAGCGCAACGATTCAGAAGAACGGAGCCAGGCAAAGGCAGGACAAGGAGTTTTATTGTGGAGTCATGCCCGTTTCCGTGACACTCGCCTGCTGCAGCTTGCCAGTTTAAGTAATTGTCCTCAGTTCCCTAAATGTGGAATGTTCGACTTGCGCAAGTAATTCTGTTGCTGCGGTACATGCTGAGCACAGCCAGCGAGCGTCTTGACTTGCCCGACGACGACTTGCAGGTTGCTATAGGGTGCTTCATGAACACCTAATGACACAATATGACACAACGAATGCCGTGCTTTGGGCGCCAAGCGGGTTTCAAAAAGACGCAAAGTCGCAAGGTCTTGAAGCATTCAAAGCCGTGTTCTTTCACCTGGAAGCTCCTGAGGAGCATAGGTCCTTTCCTCCTATGAAACCTTGCTTATGCTTTATGTTTTGATCCGCTCTGTAGATTCTGTAGGGTGGACAAGGCTCTTGGAGCAAGGGATCGTCGTGAGTTAGCTGCTTTGGGGCAACATGTGCCTCTCCCTGCGAACCATGGACCAACCTCGCCTGCATTGCCCGAGTTGCGAGAGTCTAAGACACGCGTTAATCGCAGCGAAGTTGCTGTGAATGGCACGAATCGAACTGATGACACATGTCCGCAATTTTATGGCGGTATGCGGCTAGTATGCGGGATATGATAACCTCCGGACCTCCGATGCTTCCTTCCCAAGAGAGAGTAACAGCTCCAAGCATCCAGGAAGGCGCCAACATCAACAAATCCCTCAGCGCGCCTTGCATGCACAAAGTGGTTCTGTGAGTCCAGGAAGCTGGTTCGCACTGGTGTGCTGTTTCTGCCAACAAAATGCTGCTGCTATCACGCTACGAAGATGTCTTTTGCTGTCTAGACTTTGAAGCCGACTGTTGATGGTGGCTCGGCCATGTCAACGTCAACTAGAAGAGCACTGTCGCTCTCCACTCCTACGGCCGCATCGAGGCATTGAGCAACGTGATAAATGCCCTGAGCTCCAGTACTGGTGGAAGGCCGGGGGTGCTACAGTTGGACTCGTTGGCTCCTAGTGCTTGGCTATAGTGTTGTCTTCAGACCTTGCCCGAGAGTAAGAAGCATCCAATCAGCTCGGTTCGAGAGATTTCTGCTTTGATGGCTCTTGTGACTGACTTTGCAAGATCGCATCGTTGCGACTACTCCACATAGGGGGGCCACGTGTCATTGATCTTTTTCGGTTGAAAGTTGAAAAGGTGCATTGTGCAGCAGACGCTGACATGCGTGCGTGACACGTGCATTCATACTACAGCTCAGCCAAGCAATGCATGAGTAAGCAGTCCCGGAAATGAACAAAGTGATCAATGGAAAGCAGCATAGCGAAGAGGAAGCTAAAATTAGGAAACATCTGCGAAGACAAATGGCCAGCTAGGGCAGCTTCCGCTGCATTCCTGGAGGCATGCAGCATCGAAAGCTGAAAGAGCTCAGTCTTGCGAGACCTGCTTGCTTTGAAGACATGGCTGACGCTCGACGGCCGAACTTGAGTCACGACCGTCCGACTGTGTACAAAGAAATTCTGGCACTCATTCAGCGACGAATGCAATGCTAAAAGGATTTCAGCATAAGTTAGCTCGGGCACTTGAGCAGCTCTTCATTCAAGCAGGGCTAACATTCGTTGATTCCCGGCAGGCGTCGGGCCTTTGTGCCGTACCGGGACTCCAAGCTGACACGGGTTCTGCAGGAGAGCAGAAGCATTGTGCTTGCGTCGGTTTCGGATGCAGCCACAAGGAGAGCTTGGGTGGCAATGCCCTCTGCACCATGATCGCAACAATAAGCCAGGCACCTAGCGCAGCCAAATTGGCACCGGGCAGTGCTTCGCTCTTTCGCTGCTTGAAGCCGTCAAGGCCCAGCAGAGAACAACATGGAGGAATCCTGGTCGACCTTGCAATATGCGAAGCGGGCCTTCATCTCGGCAGTTGCTTTGCGATTATTGAATGTATAATAAGTAAATACTGAAATATAAATATATAGAAGTAGAACTAAATATGAAGAAATAAACACACACACACACATATATATATATATGTAGGTAAAATATAATGCGCAAATACCGGCGTTATGCTATGATCAGGCAGGCCTGGAAATTTGCCGCACGCTTCTTGCTTTCCCGTTCTTCAGAACTCCCAGACAGGTACAAACCACCGGCAAAGACTAGAACGATACTGTATATGAAGTCAGCGAGTGGCCGTCCGGGGTTTGCCGGAGCGTCCGTTGGCTCAGCTCTCGAGAGCCCTGGACTCGTTTCGTTGAGCTACGCCCATCCTTCAATGCATCAGGCCAAAACCATCCGCGTGGTTGCGACCCGCAACGAGGAGACCAAGCAACGCCAGCAACTGGAGAAAGAGGCAAAACTTAGACACTGCACATTTTTGTTAGATCTGGTTGAGTGTCGCATTGAGTTACATGTCACTCCTGCAGGTGGAAGCCTTACGCCAACGGTCGCTCGATGAGGTGCGGCTGAGCAACGCCCTTGCCAGCACATTTCCCACATGGAGGGATCCTTCTTGCCTCCTACTTGTATGCTGTGTCTGCTTCTACAGTGTTTGTACAGCATGCAGTTTGAAGCGTTTCCAGGCAGGGCCAGTGGACGAGTTGGAAGAAAAGCATCGCGCCGAGATCGAGGCGCGGGTTTGTTCAGAACCTCTGTGCGACGGTAGAGGCAGTCGTGTGGAAGGCACGCGGATTTGGGCAAAGCCGTAACTGCCGGTCAGAAAGATCAGATTGTTTCATTGCGGTTCGAGCGGCCCAGGTTCCATGAATCATGGTGTTGGGTGGGTTTTCAAGGTTTACACCGTGCACTCACTAGGCGAGACTTTCAATCTCGAACAAAGCCAGAAGGCCCGATTTGTTTTCGCGTCATCTCCGTGGCGCCGGATGGGAGCTTGAATCTTGCCAAAAAGGTGAATGGCGAGCAAACTGGTACACTGCCACTGCTGTACACTGTTTACGGAACGGAATGCAAAAAGGCCTGTGGCTCGTACACACGAATCAGTTCGGCACAGTCGTGACTGTTGTAGTTGCAGCGACTGACACTAACCGGTTGGAAGAGAGGACGGCAAATCAGGCTGAACTGTCAATCAAACATGAACCTATCGGTCAAGCACTCAAGCCTAAAGGTTGTTCGCGGTGCCGTCTGAAGTGGCGACAAATCCCGTCCTCGCTTCATCCATCGCTTCTGCGCAGGCTCTCGAAGCCTTCATGCGGCAGACTTGGGAGGACGGCGCGGTACTATGAGACTATAACGCAATGTATCTGGAACATTCCCCCAAATGTAGCCTTGTTTTGTAGAGTGGAGGACAAGCAGCGTCTCTCCAAAGAGCACGAAGAGCAGAGGGAGAGGGCTCGGCTCGAGGCCTCGGCTGCAGCAGCTTTTTGTTTGCCTGGAAGACCGGCAATCTGCTCACCAGGTTCAGAAGGCCCTGGAGCAACGACGCGGCGAACTGCGCCGCAGGCATCTGCACTCGCGCTTAACGCGGATGTCAAATTATCTGTCATAATTCCATAATTCCTGAAGCTCCTTGCCAAGAACTACTTCGAATCCTGGATCCCTGCAAGACTCGAAGCCTTGGAAAAGCTTCAAGACATCTCGGTGACTTTGCAGTTCCGACCTCAGTTTCCCTGTAGGGGCTTCAGCCTGCTTTCACTTCCCCCGGCCGGCTGCAGACCCAAGCTGAAGGGTTTCATGGCCTGGCCTCGACTGGAATGAATTCTCCATGACAAATCTTTGGGCTTCGGGTCGGAAAATCCGAGTCTCAGGTCCTTCGTGGCAGCGGGAACGGCCTCAGAGCTTTGCCCCGGCTGGCCGGATCGACTTGCATGGAGCCGAGGACCCCTAAGTCACCAGCCTGGCAGCTTTGGCAGCTTTATGGAGAATCCTGGTGCATCTAACATCACCACAGGTCTCGACCTTGCGGTCTGCGACACTCCAGTCCCAGCTCCGATCTGCACGGGACCAGGTGTGAAACCGCCCAGTCCTTCTTGCACTGCCCAGATGTGTTCAGACGGCAAAGGTGGACGACAGGCAGGCTTGCTTCCGCTGCGCACGAGGCCCGACTCTACCAAGAAGGTGTGGTGGCCGACTTCCGTCAACTCCTGGAGCGGGTCGCACCCCCACTTTCCACATGAACAGATTTCCTTCGCTGCTGGCCAAACATTGATCAGCAAAGCACTGGCATGACAGGAAGCCGACGATGCAACAGCAGCTCTTCTACTCAGCCAGGACCGCTATCATCACTAGGATCTGCAGCGCTGTCACTGGAAAGGGGCTACCGAGCGTGGCAGGCGGATGCTAAGCTTCAGATCCTCGTCTGGTCCCTGGTTCTCGGACAGCTCTGCCTGTCATTTGTCTGATGCAGCCCGGACACGAAACGACGGCCACCTCTCCGCCGAGGCCAAGGAACTTCACGTCCAGGCCCGAGAGCTGCAGAGGGGTTGAAGCATGTGAGAAGGCCGCGCCCGCGTGCGCTCCCTTGCAGCGAAACCCAGAACTGACTTTTGACTTTCGAAGGGATGTTTCGGCCCACGAGTGTGCGCATTGGAACCACACTGTTTGCTTGCTCTCGCAATATTTCGTCCGCCCATCGTCCTTTGCACACGAATCTGTGTCAGAGGAGACCCGCTGGGCTGTTTTTGTCGGCCTGCCATGTGAGAAGCTTTTTTGCCAAGGCATTGCAGTCCGCCGAAGCAGACTTCAAAGGTCAGATGTGTGCCTCCCTTACGAAATTGCTTGGGCGTGCAAAAGCAGAATCCTACTGTTACTTCCTGGTCATCTTCATGACAGGTCCAAAAAAAATTGTATTCCGACAGCGAATAAGACAAGATCGCAACCCTTGTGACCGACACTTTGGGATTACGGCTGACTACGGAATGTCGCGGACAACCTCATGAGCCAGTGGAACTTAGGCACTGTCAGTGCGGAGATTGCCATCAATCAACGTGAGGCCGGAGGCTATACAGTGGGCCAGGATTTTGGAGCCGAGAAAACTGTGCATAGGGTCTCCGGACAGTACAGCTTTCTGTTCGTTGAAAGGCACGAGACACTCGCAGCTCCGATGACGGTGAGGCCATGTCGGTGTAACGTGATGTTGCAGGTCCTTGCAAGATGCTCATTTGGGTTGACGAGCGACATGCAGCGATGCGGGACTCGATCTGTCAACTTCCGACAGGCGCAAGTCACTGCTGAGGAGCATTTGGCTCTCCTTGCACTGGCGAGAGTCTTGGCAAACTGCACTGTCCCGGTGTGTTGAAGAGCTTCTGTGGGCTGTGCGCTGGTTTGTGCATGATCGTACAAGGTGCGACAGCAGCTCCTTCAACACTATAGGAGCTTCTCTGAAGACTTCCTGAAAGAGGTCAGCATCCCTTCCCCCACAAGCACAAGCTTCGTCTTTTGCTTGCGAAAAAAGCATGCCATGGAATTTGAAGCTGGGTGTGCCATCTTGAGCTGTGGGTGGTGTGTCTCTAAATATTCCGTGAGTGACACTTTGTTCCTTGCCGTGTCGTTTCGACAGTGAGAGTCGAAATGTCTGGGAGGTGGCATCCCTGAGCATGGCAAAGGATCTGTCTCTGGTGAGCGTCCGCTGGGCACTCGAAGGAACTCGAAGAAGGTGCTGTTGCTTGCGAGCATGCACGTGTCAGTTTGCCTGCCTGCCTGCTTGCCTGCGTGCCTGCCTGTCTGTATGTACGCATATATGTACGTATATGTTTATGTGTATGCGTATGTGTATGTCAATGTGTATGCGTGTGTGTGTGTGTGTATGTGTATGTGTGTATATATACATATAATATAGACACACACACACACATATATATATATATGTGTGTGTGTGTGTGCGTGTGCTAACATGCTGTTCTGCATCAGTACTTTATAACATTTTACGCAATTACATATCATGTGACAGATTCAAGCCTTACCTGACAAGGAGCACAAGATGTGCAGGTGTGGGATCGTAAGAACCTGAGTTGGAGTGTAAAGACTGTACAAGCTTGATCCAAGGTTGCAGTGCCACAGATCCCGTCCAGGAAGTGGAGGTGAACGCACGGCTGTGGCCAGACAATCTCTAAACTCCTTACAAGCACGTGAGTAGCAGGAATCCAACCATCTCGCATGACCCGTTTTGCAGGGCGACAGCTTCGTAAGAGTAATCCTCTATGAAGAGCAGCAGTGTCTCTATGAAGAGGAGGTAGCAACCGGAGCTGAACATGCACTCCACAGGGCTGTGGGGCTGACATCTTGCCACAGCCACTAGGGCTGGCCGCGCCCCAGGCTCAGATTCTGGCAGGAGTTCTTTAGGCTGCCGGATTTGGTCAACTTCCAGTCTTCACTTCCAATGCGAAGCCTGCATGTGGTAGCAAAATTCTGCTTCAGGTGTGACATCGAGGACAACAGGCTACGTGCTTCATCGAACTCTCACTTCGCGAGCTGTGCCAGGCCGGCTGCACCACAGTCTTACCCCTGGAACCTGATCTCCAAACATGGGATCATGCCTGCCAGAGCCAGAGTGCATGTCGAGGCTGCATCGCAGCCTTTGCACGGGCGGCTGGAGCGCCTCTGAGGCCACGAAAGACGAATTCCTGGAGGTACGAACCGTGCACGAGGGAAGCATCCCTGATTTACGAGCATTTGCGTCTTGCTACAGACGGCATAAGATCTCGACAGGTCGACCTGTCAGAAGACGGCTGCACCGAGCAGGCTCAGTTCTTCGGGTTTATATGCCGGGCAGACAGTCCGACAGTACAAAGAAGCAGACCGTAGACCGCAGGTCTTGGCCGGCGTGGCGCTGTCGAAGCCTTACAGTTATTCCTCCAGTACCATTGGGATCATGTTTCTGAGCGGCGGGGCTCGAGCGGGGTAGCGTTAACTTGCAAGGCAGGGCAGACTTCCTTGCAGCGGCCATTGGCAGCAGACGCACGGCCTGCTGAAGACGGCGCTTGGTGATCACGAGGCCGGAGCACGCCGCAGTACGCTGCACATGCCATGCAACCTCTCACCGTGCCCGTGCGCGCTTGGGCAGTGAGGTCCTGCGACCTACCACGGAACGCACCTTCCTCCGGCCTCCCGTGCGCTGCGTCATCGAGGCTGCCAGGGCCCTCGGCCCTCGCCGGCCGAGTTCGCCGAGCTTTGCAAACCCGAGCACCTGCTGCGCCTTTTTTTGTGCTTGCAGGCATTTCAGGTGCGTTGACAGTTGACTGTGACAGCTCTGCATGGATGGGGATTATGGATTTGGAGACGGTGGAGCCAGGCTGAGGCTGTTGGTTTGCGAGGTAACTCCATAATCGCGGTCGCGAAGTAGGTGAGTGAGCGGTTTTTGTCGAAGGATGAACACGCTGCAGCGGCAGGCATCAGTAATTATTGTCCATCATGCATTTTGCGAAGAACACTTGCATGGCCTTAGATGCCTTAGATGCTAAACTTGCGCGGCGTTCAGTTTGCTGTTGCCATAGCGGCACTCGGTACTTCGTGTCACTTCTTGTGGCTGGCCTTACGACCAAATCCAGGTGCACACCATGACTCACCGCTATTCTGTGAAAGTGGGGAAAGGTCTCCGATCTACTTCCTTTTTGCGCCCGGAGTTGCCCTGTCCAGTGTGCTGCTGCTCCTCGCCGGATGCGAAGCTGCAAGAGAATATGAACTCGCCTGCAACCTTTGGACACTGGCGATGGTGCTGCGGATCTTTGCTACATGTGCGGCCGTTGGTTTAGCGGGCATGGGCTTGGTCACAAACCCCATGAGCCGCTCCTTCCATGATCTGGCGACCTATGCATTCGTGGGAGGCGCAGCCTTACTGCTACTCATGGGTGTAGTTGCATCTACTTACCTGCAGGTGTATTCTCTGCACGAACAATCTGGTCTTGCTTTTTTGGCCGTTCGGATCGTGCTGCTGGCACATGCCTCAACAAAGGCCAGTGAGTTCTTGGGGAAGTATGGTCGAGCAATGGCTCTGGTGAGCCAAGCTGGTCAAGCTGACCATGCAGGTGATGGCGAAATGCCAACTGTGGATCGAAGGGTGATGAAGCGACTGCTGAGAGAAAGCGCTTTCGCTCAGTATTCAGCCCTTGCCTCGCTGTGCATTTCTGCCGCTCTCCTGCGCCCCTGATCATGGATGGCCACTAGCAGACTAGCAAGAGCTTGCCGACCTGGGAAACGCCTGCAACAGACAACATCGCAACATGGCAAAGTCGAGTTCGCCAATGAGCTTCGAATCCGTGCATGATGCACAGGTGCTCGACATCTTGGCAAGAGCTAGATGTGACTACGATGATACACAAAAAGCGGTTCTATAAGACTCAATTGCAGAGCCCTTCCTCGCTCATGTTGGTTCGCTAGATTACGATGAAATGCTGCCAACTGCCGCGGCCAGGTAGCCACGGCGTTGCAGAGCTGCAGCGGCTCCGAGGCGGCCTCCAAGGAGTTAGTGCTCGGAGCAAGCATGGTATACGCACTGCCACAGTCATTGTCGCTACTCAGTACTGTTGCCGTCTTGCGTATGAAGCCTCATGTGATACAGTACATGTTCCACCTGCGGTGATGTAACGTTGGCTACATAGCGACAGCACCTTTTGCAGAAGGCGCGCAGTTGTTGAGTTGTTGGGCCTACTGACGAGTGACACCTCACTGATGTGACGTTGCAGGAGGCCGTTGACTATGCAGCCATGACTAAGGAGGCAAAGACGGATTTTCTGACAAGGCTGGGCTGTCCCTGCCTTAACAGTACTCGATCTTGTTGCTGCACTGAACAGGCTCATCCAGGAAGCAGCACGCTTCTTCAAAGCTGCAGACTCAGCGCTTGGCAAGTATAGGTATCCTGTAAATTAAAGACGTATATGAAGAGACTCGCAGCTTCGACTTGATTTGGCCACGCCCCAATGCTCCTGCAGCGTTCCAGCGTTGCAGCAAAGCTAAAGGAGAATTGCGCCTTGAGTGCAGGATGTGATGGGTCCCGGAAGCGCCAAACAAGCTGTGCAGGGTCTCTCCGACAGCGAGGCCCGCTGCAACGGTCTCGTTTCGCCTCAGTCCGTTTGCCTGTATTGCGGCCACCGAGAATCTCTGGCATCGACATACTCGTCTCATCAATGTATAGCACTTCGGCATGATCGGCATGCTGTAAGTAGATGCTTCAGTGAGTGCAACCGCACCTGCAACGCCCTCGACCTAGGCCCCATAGTGCATTACACGTTTGACCGCATCGTCGCGATCTGTTTCTGTACTAGCAGGAAGAAACGTTTATTCCGTGCCAGAGCCTTTGCCGTCAGGAGGAGGGCGCGGAGCCTCTGAAGCTCACTGCCCAAGATGTTCTTTGTGGAAGGTGCCAGTGCAAGTATAACCACGTGGTACCCCATCCAACACGCGCTGTCTCTTGAAGTGCGCAAAGGGGCATGATGCGCACACTAATGCCTGAAGCACCTTAAACTGCGATATGGGTGGCAGGAATTGCGGTGAGACCAACCGCCTGCTGCAGCTGCTGGCCTGGCGATGCCTCGGCCGGGCACCCAGAAAGAGATTACAAGCCAAAGAGGCAGACAGTTTCTTGGAACTCCTAGGCTTAAGGCCTGAGCAGTGAGAGAGAAAATCCGCGGGGACATCTGGCAGACGACTTGAAGAAATGTCACGGTTTGTAGACTCCAAATCAGCTCCTAGAGACCGAGCATCAGCAATCATCTTGACAGAAGGAAAGGATGCAACCTGCCAGTGGACGCGGCAGTTTCGCCTTCAGCCGAGGGCTCGGAGGACCGAGGGCTGCATCCCTGCAGCACAGCTTGATTCTGATGTCACAAAGCTACGGATCCTAAGGTATCATGAGCCCCAGAAAGGGTGGATATGGTACGTTTGGATCTCAGTTTGTTGCTGGGCCATGCCTAAGCCGAAGCCTTGTCAGAGAGTTGTGCGCAGCCCCGCAGACCTGGTGAGCAGCTCCCACAAGTCAGGGGAGCCGCTGACAGGGGGCAGCACGCAGCGCCGATGCGCCAAAAGAAAACCACCTTCAAGAGTTTACCGCCCTCATGTTTGGACGCTTTACAAATGTGCTATCTTCCGTATGCGAGAAGTGCAGAGTTTGATGCCTGGGAAGTTCAGACGGCTCAGGCCGGAGATGAGGGTGAGCACGTGTTTGAGGCCAATACGGATGCCCAAGCGGCCGAAAGCTCGGAAATGTAGACTTTTTGCCACGCCACATCGCGCCATATTGGCAGTTGCAACAAACATGGGGTCCAGAGCTGGCACAATCCAGAGCTTGATGTCAGGGGTTCCCTAAACCTACCACACATTCATGCTGAAGGCGTTCTTCGTGCAGCTGCCCGTGCCGGTTTCAGCCGGGAGCCTCAGTGTGAGCTTTTGGCACTACGGAAGCTGCTGAAGGTTGGGTCTCGCTGGAGCTTTTCTGAGCAACCCATCTGAGGCTAGCAAGCTGCGCATTTGCCCGTTAGCTTGGCCTTGGACTGAGGGGCGGCGTAAGTGTAGGCCTATCTGTTGAATGTCATCAGAATCAGATGTAGTTCAGAACTTCAGGAACGTCTGCTCGTGCGAGGCACCGTCGGCCAGCGTTGCGCATCGAAGTGTTTGCCTGGGGCTTGGCTCAGTGCGGAGACGGAGAGAAGAAAAGGCTCGGACCGGCTCCGTCGCTGTGTGTCGCTGTGTCCATCCGAGGTCCTGCCTTCCCTGGACTTCCGGCCACGCGCGCCTCAAATCTTCGAGTGCCTTCAAGCCCCATCCCCACACAGCACCACCAGTGCACCAGCAGTGCGTGACGTCCAGCATAGTTCGGGAATCTGTGCGCTACTTCAGGGAACAACTCGATATTCATGTTTGGGCTAGGGCTGTCTGGCTGCGCCTCTGACTTGAAATGCGTTGAGCACCGAGGCCCAGATCCAGTTGGGAAAGCAAGCTCTCGGAAGATTCAAGCTGCGGGTGGAGGCTCGCTGGCGCTGGCGGTGGTTTCAGGAGAATTGCGAGGATGTCGAGAAGCTGCTGATGAAGAGAGGGACGGCATACTGATACTCCACACTAGATTGCATGGGCAGGCCAACATGCGCTGGCTCCTGAGATGTTTTGCCGACTTGAAAATCTCTCACCTTCTAAGTTCTAAGGTGCCTCGCTAGATCCGTGCTGAGGTGAGGACCAGCTTGCAAAAGAGCAGCAAGTGACCTTGCGGGATGGGAGATGCGCTTTCGAGTATGTTGTGGAGTTGAAGAGGCTATGCTCACCGACAAGCTGCCGCCCCAATCGTGTGGTTCCAAGCATCTATACAATCCACAGTACATCACTGCAGGTACACGAGCATGGTGCATTGCAGCGTCAGCTGGAGGAGGCCTTGGCACGGGCAGCGGGGACTCCCAGCACAGGGTGAAGCCGGTTCGTGAGGCCTTTTTTTAGGCCACGCAGAGTCCAAGGCCTCTTCAGAGGCGCAGCTGCTTCAGCTAAAGGCAGACAATGAGCGTCCGTCGCCCAGTGAAAGAGAGTCCAGACCGGGCAACAAAACCCACAGAAGTGTCGAAGTTGCCAGGTGTTCCTAGCGACCTAGTGACTACCCAGCCGCTGTGTAAACGCTTTTGCAAGGCTGAATAGTTGGAGTTGGGTGCTCTTGGCATCACTTAAGAAGGATAGTCGCCTGCGGCCTCATGAACTTCATGCTAAAGGAAGGTGTGTGCTTGAACGGGTCAACTTCGAGACCTATCGATGACCATTCCGCATGGCAGCTCAATATCAAAATCTCTTGCACGACAGTTGCCGAGACTCCAAGGTTTGCAGCAGCAGTTGGACATCCGCTCAGCAGAACTCTGCAGTGCCGAGGTGCGCAGTCCCTGCAATCATATCGTGCGCTGCAAAAGGCTCGTTTTGAGGGTGTTGGAAATGCGGAATTGGACTGCAGGAGGCTCGCCGCAGCGCCGAACAACTGGGCAGGGGGCCAAGGACACCGCCAGATACCGCAATTGAGAGCCTGTGCCACGAGCAACACGTTTCAGGGGGGCCCACAAGCTTCGTGATGGCCTGATGTTTTTTCTACATGCTGTGCATGCGCCGAATATCTCGATCTTCACGGATGGAGCTACTACAGGTTGGAGTAGCAGGAGTATGCAAAAACACACAGTTGCACCACCCAGCCCGCCTCCAACACCCTTGCTACTACATCCCAGAGCTTTAGCATTGAGGATGCGCTGCCCTTGTTGCTAAAAACCCGCCACATCCGCAAGGCAGCATTGACAAACACTGGGGGCTTTCCTTGCCCATATCGGGATCCCTCGCGAACTCCGCAAGACTTGCAAGCTAGCTTCGAGCATCCTTGTCAGCATTCTGCAGCTACTGGAATGCACTCTAGTTTCACGGGCCCTATTCCGGAACCGCATGGAGTCCGCCCGTGCCACGTCGAGCAGCCAGCCGGCTATGGAATTTTTGCCTAGACAGATTCGATAGGGCTGTCGAGATTTTTTGCAGCACAGTGGTTCACCGACGGCAGTTTGGTATAGGCATTGGAGGCTTTGGACTTGGGTACTTCATGCGATGTCAAGGTGACTGCATTGATACCCTCCGCCAGCATCTGTGGTAGAACGAACGGCCAAAGGAAATCTCGCAGCTAGCATAAAGCCTCAAGGCCCCGTGGCAGACTCTCCATTGTGCCTGACATAATTGTCCAAACCATGACAACGAAAAAGGTTTGGCCAGAAGTGAGACACCGTACTTCCTGCCAGTGCCAGTCGGAAACAGACTTGTGTGGCTATATAGCTCAGCCTTCACATTTCGAAGCTCGGTTGATGGAGGGATGGATGGTTTTGAGTAAGCAGTCACAGGCGCGAGCGCCCGGACCAAGCTGCCTCCCATCCTATCTCCGGATGGTTCGCCGGCTTCTTCGCAGCATTCGTACGCGTTGAGAGAGTTTATAGGACCCTATAATTTTTTTGACTCTGCACCCGGCATGCGACTGTCTATAATATAAGGCAGTATCCGTGCTCTCAGCCGATAATCCGGAGATGCTCACTCCAGACTTCATGACACCCCCACTTCCCACATCGCTTGAAGCACTAACCCCGCAACCAGATGACCGCAGATCCTGCGAACCTGGACCAACCGGATGCTTGTAAGGTGAACATCGTTCTCCTGGGGCCCCCAGCCGGTGGGCTGCTTTCCGCAAGCTTTGCTTTTAAATTCAATTGTGCTGTGTGAAGCTTCCGCCGTCGGCAATCACCTGTCACTTGCTGCAGGGAATCAGGAACCACAAAGCCATCATACAGCCTCCATATTCTGAAATATCCCAACCTCGTGGGGTCATGCGGTCATGGTTTCGGGGCGGTCAGTCGAATGTCGCGAGGTGGCAAAGGCACTCAGGCTGGATACCTGGCGGAGAGATATGGCATCTTAGCGGCGAGGTGATTTTTTTCGGGCTTTGAAGTTCGCAAAGTCGCGGGACGAATTCTCGGTGCTTGGGTTCGTTTCTTTGGTGCATGTACGAGACGCAGGAAAGCAGGAGCAATTGGCCCAACCACTGGTACGTACGGTCCGTTTCCACCGTCAGGAATGGTGCACATCCCCATGGGAGATCTTCTTCGGGCAAGGGCCAAGTTCCTCCCCGAGTTGGGCGAGTTCATCTCGAACGGGTGGTTAGTGGCTTGGCTTCAGCTAAGGATCGGACGATGTCTTCCCATTTCGGCAGATTTGCACATTCCATCGGCTAGTATTACAGCTTGACACCGCAGCGAACAGGTTCCGGATGATGTGGTCGTCTCCGTGCTTAAGGCCGTATGTAAATTTGTTGCTGGCTTCTAAAGTTGTACAGCATGCTGTAAATGAAGAAGTGGATCCCCGCGCGCGCAGGAGCGGCTTGCGGACAGCGACTGTGCCTCCAGAGGTGTGCGACCGGGCAGCATGGAAGCACGCCAACACATGCCAACACCCCACTGGCTATTGTAAGAGGTCATAGTCTACACTGCCATGCTGACGGGCATAACGGTTTTGCGTGAAATCTAGGCGCAAAGGCGACAATCAGCGAAGTCCTGAACGTGCGCGAAGACGCAACTTTTTAGTTTGTTTCTTTCCAGCATGACCGAGGCTACTGGATGGCTTCCCAAGAACTCGAGCCCAGGCATGTCGCTTTTCGTATCACGCTCTGGGGTGCTGTTGGTTACTGACATGATGTGTAGGAGGTGCCGAGACAATGAATATGCAGGCATGAGAGATCGCAGTGCGGTCCTATCAGCGCCATCTTCCAAGCATCGTTTCAGCCAGGACAGGAAGTTTCTCTTGACCATTCATGTTCGAATCCAACCGCTAGTTTCACATTCGCGGGGAGTTGCACAACCCCGAGCCAAGTCATCACTCCTCCAACAGCCATTTATCTCGCCACTACTGGGAAGTTGCTCCCGCCCACTACCAGCTCCAGAGACGTGAGCGGGGCTCTCCATTCCTGATTGTCTTTCGACAGCTCTTCAGGTCAACACTTGACACGTGAGCCAGTGCAGAAGCACCGGCATGTGGTAAAAACTTGTCTCAGAGGCAGTAGTCTCTACTGGAGGTTCGGGGAACTCCCTCGAACTCCAGCAGCTAGCTTAATTCGCATCGCCCGGCACGGCGTGGAGGAGGGTGGGAGTTTGGCAAAACAATAACGTGCACAGGCCGAGTCACTCCGGCGAGTCGGCGTGGAGATTTCGGCCGTGCTGCACCTTCAGGCGCGGTTCGCTGGATTCAGTCCGCCCGATGAACCCTAAGCATTTGTGGAAAGGTTACAGCTAGTTCGACAGAAGGCAGAGCCAGGCAGTGTTGCAGGTTGCAGACGACGTTGTGGTGGATCGAATCGCTGGGCGCCGGATAGATCCGTTGAGCGGCAAGATCTACCATGTCAAGGCCGAACAGCTTGGCTTCGATTGCATTGCTTCTCATCGCCAAACTGCTACAGCACAATATTATATATATATATGTATATGTATATGTATATATATATATAGATAGTGTGTGTGTGTATGTGAGTGTATATATATATATAGTTATACATACATACATACATACATATCCTTTAGCCGGTTTTCCGGGAGCTTGCACATGAGAGGACAATCCGCCGCCGCCCGAGATTGCTGGCCGCGTGATCCAGCGCGAGGACGACACCCCCGAGAAGCCTCCAAGCTTCGACACATATGTAGAATGAGAGTGGGTTTTGGTTGCAGGCTTAACCGACAACTAGCTTCTGCATTCCCCATTTCTATTTGCAGAGCAGTGGAACCCTGGCCGGTGTTCTGAGCGGGAGATGCTCAGCTGAGGATCCGCAGGCGACTCGTAACCTATCATCAGGCGCCTCGGCTGAATGGTTGGAGTGCTGAACGTGGCAAGTGGGGTGGGGTCGTCGGCTCATAGCGAAATGTCTCAGGCAAAAGCTTTGCCTGATGCCGTGATAGAGAAAGACCTGAGCATGCCAACAGACGACGCGTGGGTTTTTCTCTGATCGACAAGCTGGTACTGGCATGCATATATACAGGCGCACATGCTCGAATCTTTCTAGCTCTCTCTGCTTCTGTTTGGGTCGTGTAGATTGCCTCACAAGGAGCGAGATGCCATTCTAGATTTCTGCGGAGACCGCGCCCGGTCCTCGGAGGGAGCTATAAGCAGCTGATCCGTCCGTGCTAAGCCGCTAAGCTGTTGGAGGCCGAGGCCCCTTTCCCGTCTCCTGGCTGCCATACCAAAGGTGAGAACAATACACGTCGGCGACGGAAGTGGTGAGGCCGCATGCGCTGTCAGATTTTGCACATGTCTGCACACAATACCTGAAGCCCATCCAGGCGTTGCCATCAGATGTGCGCCCGCTGCGTGTCTTCGACGAAGTAAGAAAGGCCCTGACAGTCACCACACTGCTAGACATGAGCTTTGACTTGTTGCTATGCAGAATCCCACCGGTCGTTCCGACAGGCTGTCGAAGGCGACACGTACTGGGGCTCGGTCATCCGCTCCGAGTTCATAGCGAAGGCATGCTGCGTGCGAGCGTACGATTTTGCTTTTGAACGACCTCGAGGCTTTCTTCCCGGATCAGCCCCATGGCGGGTGCTTCTACCATCAGTCAAACAACAGTGGCAAACACATCGGGCAAGACGACTCAAGCTTGCAAGACAATAACAGACCGTTCGAGAGCACTGTCGTGCCAGGTGAGACTACATATTTTCGTTGATGTTTGAAGCACGGCATGGCTTCCGCGAGGGGCTGGAGTGATTAGCCTAGATGCGAAGAGAGTCCTAGACGTCGATTCTGGGCCATGGCCACGGCCGCTGCAAGCGGCCTTGTGTCTCGGCAGGGAAGCGCGAGCGAAGAGAGACCAGGGTGCTCGAAGAGCAGCTGCGCTGAGGTGCCAGTTCTTATGCTGTTTGGGGGCTGCATGGGGGCCATCGTCGCCATGGAGGTGGTATTGAAAGCAGATCCAAAGTGTGCTGGCTGCAATGAGCTCTGCATGCAAAAAGAAATGTGTCAGCTCTGGAGCATACACTAGAGCAGCACGCTCTTGAAGCGGCCAGGACGGCAGGTTGCATCGCTACTGATTTTTACCCCAGATGATGAGTTCCCATAGCTTGTGGTGGATAGGCTTGGTTTAATGGCGGTCGCTTGAGCATTTATGCTTCGGGTCTGTAGTGCTGATGTTGAGATGATAGGCATCTCGTTCTCACGCGGATGGCTGGAGCTGCCGAGTCAGGTCAGGGAACCTGCTGACTCTCACTGCCGCAACTCGGCAGACCATGCAAACCCGAAGTTTCAAGCGGGCTCGTCCTTGCTAAGTGGGAGGGAAAAAAAGTGCTTGTAACAGCGTGCCTGTTGCACTAGCTAGAGATTGTGTGCAGAGTTTTCCGGCGGTGCATGGCAATGTCTCCTGAACGTGATCTGGGTGCGTACTCGGTTTGCATTTGGCATTGGAATGCATTAATTGAATCATCGGTTTGCTTTGGTAAGCAGTGCAAACTTGTCAAGCATGACCGTGCGCAGGTTCTCATGGTACTCCTTCAGAGCCTGCCAGGCCAATTTGTTTCGTCACTGGTAGCACGTCGATGATGCTGCGGGTGGTATAAGACCAACAATAAGCATCGCATACACATGCGGTCTCCCGCTGCTTTTTGATGTTTGCTCTGGTGGTCTCGTGGTGGTTTCCTCGTCCTCGTTTTGCGGTCAGTTGCGAGCTGTATTTTGCATGGGAAAAAGTGGTACACAGACACACACACACACACACACTCGAACTCCAGGCAAACCCTGGTGTGAGTTCTCACGAGTGATATCAACTCCAATCAAAGTCAGAGACTCAGAGGAGGCATCAAAGAATGTAAAATGTTGTGGGAGGTCTTCAACAGGCTCGAGTTCCCTT